GTGTGCCCCGGCGGCGACACCGGCGCTCGGAACAGCCTGGTACCTGACCCGAGTAACGCGTGTCATTTAACCGGTTCAACGCTATTGATGCCGAGAAAAGGCTGGGAAAGAACTACTCACAGACTTGTATCTCTGAGTAGTAGGTTTATTGAGCGCTGGGCACAAGGGGATCGCTCCACCAAACTTGTGCACCTACGGACAAAGACTTCACAGTTTATATACATTAAATGTCCATACATATTCATCATTTCCAGGAATGGGTGGTCATTATTACAATTAGTTCTTAGAAATCATTATCATCTACTCCTCCTTCGTCTCCTCCCCTTATGGTGGTCGTCCGGTGGTCGTTGGGAGGAAGCACGAAGTCTTCCTCTCTTGTCCGCCGTTTGACCCCTTCTTCGACGCAGACGCATCACAGTCCTGGGTCTTGTCCAGACCACTACACTGGTTCTTTCTTGTTTTCATCTTCCTCAAGGTTACTATAGTCAGTAAAACTTGTTTTTTACACAGAAAGGTCCTGTACTTTTGTAACATGTTTCCTTATATGGTATAGCTATCAGAGCTTAAGCAGACAAGGTTCAGCAAAAGTTATTGTTTTTATCTTCCTTACACAGGAAAGACCCTGTACTTTTATAACATGTTTCCTTATATAGTATAGCTATATAGCTTAAGCAAACAAGGTTCAGCAAAAGCTAGCAAAAGCTTTACAATGGTCAGCAAAGGCTTATAGTTTAAATACTTACTTACAAATTGACCGTTATCGCTATTAGTGCTGTGTTCTTACGTACTTGGGGAAATAATTGTAGACTTGTGCAGGTAAAGTTGCAACAGCTCTTCCTCAGGTCAGGAGGGATATTGAGGTGCTGGAGCAGGTCCAGAGAAGAGCAGTGAGGCTATGAAGGGACTCACAAGTGCCATGAGGAGAGGCTGAGGGAGCTGGGGGTGTTCAGCCTGGAGAAGAGGAGGCTCAGGGGAGACCTTATCACCCTCTACAACTCCCTGACAGGAGGTTGGAGTCAGGTGGGGGTTGGTCTCTTCTCCCAGGCAACCAGCAGCAAGACAAGAGGGCACAGACTCAAGCTCTGCCAGGGCAGGTTTAGGTTGGATATTAGGAAGAGACTTTTTACAGTGAGACTGATCAGGCATTGGAATGTGCTGCCCAGGGAGGTGGTGGATTCACCATCCCTGGAGGTTTTCAGGATGAGACTGGATGTGGCACTTAGTGCCATGGTCTAGTAACCACGGTAGGGTTGGACTCAATGATCTTTGAGGTCTCTTTCAACCAGGTTGATTCTATGATTCTTTGACAGCTATTGTGAGCATAATTGAAATATTTCTGGTTTGTAATATTTGACTCTTATTAAATCTGTGTTCAGACATCCTTGTCCAGTTGCAAGCGCTCTCTCTTGTCACAAAAGCAGAGTTGCTTTTACATCCTTGTCCAGTGGCAAGTTGTGCTCTCTGTCACAAAAGCAGTGGCATCCTTTTAAATTGGTGACACGAATACATATACAGATGGAAAAGGATTACAAGGAAAAAGAGCTGCTGAGGGAATACCTGGCCAGTACAGATAAGTTCAGTGAACAAATCAGCATTAACATTGATCACTGCACAGGCAAGACCCACTTTTCTTATCATCGAAATAGCTTTTCTTCCATTGTAAATGCTAAGGCATTTGCTGCCCAAAATGAGGGTTTGTCATTGACTGCTAGCCAGAAACCAGTGCTGCTCCACACTTGAATGTTTCTTAATTTACATCACTACAGCTCCTCACTTAAAGGCACTGTCCACTTCAAAAAGCAGGAGAAATCTGTACTCAGTGGACTCTATTCAGAGCTGAGATTGATTCCTGTCTTTAAACGCCAGCTGTCTTCCTCTCAAGTTTGCTAGTTTGGAAAGAAAAAAGCCAAGTCTATGGAACATGAGGGCCTCCAAGCCCTGCACCTGTGAGCCATTATCAGACGCGAAAGCAATGCCTCACACACCTAGAACAACGTGCAAAGCACATAATGAAGGGTATCACACAGCAACCATCCTATCACATCAGGAAATGGATTGCCCAGGGAGAGTTTACACCTTGTTAGCGTCTAGCAGAGTTATCACAATGACTGCCAAGGAAATAATGAATATACTGAGGTTCTCTCTGCATAAAACCACAGGAAGA